CCACCGCTTATTTTTTTTTGTACCCGGTACCCGCCCCGACCCGGCAGTTTCCTACCCGAACCCATGTGCCGGGTCGGGTCGGGTGCCGGGTACCCGACCGGGTTGCAGGACACTAGCCCAAACTGAGACTCACTGTTTGAGCTCATATTAGGGCCAGAAAGAGGTCTGGACGAGACTATCAAAAGTCTATAAGGGTTCATTTTCATAGACCTATGGAGGCAAGTTATGACAGATTTACTAAATTTTCGACTCATTTTATAGGTAATCCTCGAAAAATCAAATCATGGAGTTTCGATCTTAAACTTTGTCTATAGATAGTTCTAATGACTGTTAGAGTATTCTCAGAGTTTTAGCTAAAAAGAATGTTTCTTCGTCAAGATATAAAATTTTCAAAAATAACCTTTTGTCATGGACATGTTACAAAAAATCAAGTTCTACTAAGAACTCAATAACTCGACGAGGAAACATTTTTTGTGAGTGACGTAGTTAAGGTTTTCTAAGAGTCATTAGATCTGTCCAGAGACAAATTTTTTGATCGAAATTCAGTATAAATTAGGCGCCCAAGACTTCTGTCTGAACCTAACATTAACTCAAATGGTGGATGTCAATTGGAATAGTTTCCTGATTAGAATTTTTCTATGACTTTTGACTATTGAGCTATAAATGAAATTTGTTCTAAACAAGCGACAAAATTTTATCAAAATATATTGAAAGAGTAAAGGCTTTTATGAAATCAATCGTAAGAAAAAATAGCCATTTTTCCTATTTTCGTTCTTTCAGCGCAAAATAACCATACGTCACAATCTTCCCATTTTTTTAATAAATTAACCAAACTTTCCATTCCGGCAACATTTTTTATATAAAGAATCACTGTTCAGTAAACTACAGTCAAGATTTATGTATAGTTTTATAGTCAAAAGTTACAGAAACATTCTACGCGTATATTCTGCGCTTAGAATACAAACTCGTATTTATGACTTGAGTATAAGTATGATTGTTGTTGCTTTTTCTTCTTTACACTCTTCTACATTCATATATTCGCTTCAGTTTGATTAAATTTCGAATTGTCGATACCTTATTCTTTGAATGAAAGATACATACTTAAAATAGAGATCTGGTGAATATTCAAGTGAAGGTTCAACTGCACAATAAATAGTTGTTTGTGCACCTGCCTTTGGTGTTTTAGCAAAAGTCATTTTAAACAAACTTAATATTGGATAGACAATAAGAAATCGATAAATTCCAAGAACTTCTCGCATTGGTGCTTGAATAGATGTCCAAACCCAACCAGGATGTAATGCAAATACATTAACACCTTCGGCTAAATAGAATATGATTAAAATAAGAAAAAAAAATATTCAAGCAGATTACTAAGTAAATTTTGTTTTAATTTATAAGTTGATAATATCTGAAATGCTTTCGATGTTGCATATACACCTAATAGATGACAATTTTTAAATTGTGTAAATGCATCAAACCAATCAATTGATTTAACTCCTATATTAGACAAACCAAAAAAAAATTGACATAAAATATATTTAAATCATTTTAATACAAACTTTTATGTGAACCCGATGAAACATTAATAATTCGACTTGGACGAGATTTTTTTAATTTATCTAAAAGTAGATTTGTTAATAAAAAATGACCAAGATAATTAGCTTGAATAATTGAATTAAATCCATCTTTTGTAACGACATGTTGTGACCAAGCAAGACCAGCATTACATATTAATACATCAAGTCTTTCTTCTTCACTATTATATAAATTAGCAAAATTACGAACGGATTCAAGTGAACATAAATCACATTCCATTAATCGAATATTTTTTTCTTCACATTCAGTATCGAAACATAATTGTCGAATAGCTTGACGACCTTTATCCATATTACGACAAACAATAATAACTCGAGCACCTATCAATAATCCCAAAATAACAATAGAATATTTAATAAAAAAATAAATAAATAAATGCTTCAATTCAAACCTCGTCGAAGAAGATCTTTAGCTGTTTCATAACCAATACCAGTATTACCACCTGTAATAACGACAGTTTTACCTGGCATCAATTGCATACTTGGATAAAATTTTCGATTCACCCAAAATTTATTATATAACCATGCTGTCATTACTGAAAAAAATATATTAATTAGGAAGAATATGATAAAGAGAAAAATGTAATACCTGTTCCAGTGAGTACAAAAATAGCTGTACGATATTGATCAAATAATTGATGAGCTATTGAAAAGAAATCTTCTTCTGGTGTAAAAGGTGCTGTTGCTGGTGTTACTACGGTTGTTACTGTTGTGGTTGGTGCAGTCATTTGTTCGATTTTTTTTTAGATTTATCTCAATATGAGAGGTAAGTTATTTCTTGTACAGATTTTTTAATATAAGAAGTATAGATATTGCTTGATTGAAATCTACCAATCAAGAACTAAATTGACGCGAGTGCATCTAAAACTAGCGACCTCTATAGTATACGTTACATGAAATTACGTAGATATGCTTTAGTTAAATAATCTTTTTCGTCAATTATACTATGAATAGTTATTATACCGGACGATATTCCCATTTGCATTGTTAACAAAAGACAGATTTTCTATATTCATATATATTCGATAGCCTTTAAATTAGATTTAAATTTTCTATTCCAATCTTATTTATGAAACATAAAATTCTTAAGGCCCCCTTCTCCCTCAAAAAAAGTCAATTTTCGTCAAAAAAGTCGAAATGGAGATAAACGCATGGGAAGATAGCCCGTGATCTGCTCTTTCATAACTGATAAAAAGTTTTCGTCGATACCTCCTTTTTGTACAAAATTTTCGAAGATTTTCGTCAACCCCTATTCGAAAAACCAACTGTTTTTTGAAAAATTAAAAAATGTTTTTCGTTTTTTTTCGGTTTATGACTTTTTGATCTTTTGTCCAAGATTTCTCGGTCCAGGCTCTTTCAATATATTTGAATTTTTTTTTGTTTGAAAGAGCATGTCCAGGTGCAGGGCACCACAGAGTCCTTTTTTTTAATTAAGCTTTATTTTTTATTATATATACAGACATTTATGTAGCTAGACACCCATTTTTGGCGCTTTTTTTGAGTCATTGAATTTGTGATCCCCTTTTCCACTAAAAAAAGTAAGAATTTAAACAAAAACAACTCTGTGGTGCCCTGTATCCTGATATGCTCTTTCTAATAAAAAAAAAATTAAACATGTAGCATGAACCTGGACCGAGAAATCTTGGACAGAAAATGAGCTATTTTTGACCCTTGTTTGGTTCATATCTCTGTCAAACGTCATAGTATCGAGCTGAAAATTTTACCACAGCCTCCTCACTTCAGCCCCAACATATGTTCCAAATTTCAGCCCATTTGAACATATCTGGGCTGATATCGATTTTTGAGGGGGAGGGAAGCCTTAAATCGTTTGTAATTTGTCCTTTTTCAATATTCAAGATATTGTCTTTGTACTTGCTTAATATTCTGATGATTTGTAGGTAGTGAATATTGTTTGAATATTAACAACATGTTTGATAAACAAATGTATTTTCCTATAATATTCATCATTTTGTTATACATTAAATGAATAGTGTTCTAAACTAAAAATAAATCAGGATGTTTTCTAGTAGATTACAAGTACTTGATTGTAATACGAAAGTGTTCTGCAATATTTTATCTGTTATGAATATCTATGCCATTCTGTACGAAATGTAAGAAAAACAACTGTTCAAAAGGATAAACGAAAAACTATATTTGAACAGCAATCTTACATTTAAAAAAAAAGTTCATTTTTACAGACACTTTTTTTTTTGTTTTTTACAAAACAAATTATTTCATTTCTTCTAACTAAATAGGTTTCAGAACATTTTAAGTTATTCTTTTAAAGAATTGTGCAGATTATCATTACGAAAAAATTCATGTCAAAACATCAAAAATTGGCAAAGCTATTCACATAGTACTGTATCGGTTATTCTTTACAGAAAAAAAAAAGTAGAAGATGACTTTAATAAAATTTTATTTCAATATGTTTACCAATATGATACTTTCTTACCGTTGATGCAAATTGAATGCAGTTTCTGTTGAATAAAAGCTTAAATGTTACTTTTCAAATATATATATATAACTTATATTTCATACCTCTTCACCTTTGAATATGGAAAAGATAAAAAAAAAAGGGGGGTTGTTACTTCTCTGGAACACGCTTTATACCAAAAAAAAGTGAAGTAACTGATCAATATTCACTTGTTTTTCAAATATCTTCAGAAAGAAAACCTTTGCCCTTTTACTCATCTTACAACAATATTTTTCTTATCTATAACCGCAACGAATTATTTATATTAACATATACATTTACTCTTATTAATATATCGTTGCATAAATTTAAATCTGTTGCACTAACAAGATGAATTTATTTTTGTAAAGAACTAAAAAATAAGAAAAATAAGTTGAAATATTTTCTTGATTTGATTTATATTTAATAATTATTTAGTCATTTCGTATCCATAAATCGTAAGATTGAGTCAATTAAGGTTACCAATCAGCATGAATAGGTGTATGTGTATATTATGAAAAGAAATATAGAAACAAAACTACCAATCATTATCCTCTTACGCAAAAACACTACGCACATGCATATACATACGCACACCAAAACAAGGAAAATGTAATACTCTAAATTACAAACAAGATAAAAAGAGCAAGCGACAGAAATTTTTAAGCATTTGGCACTGGTTGATATGTTGGGTTTGGTGACATATCTCTGAGTTCTACTTCTTTTGTTGTTGTAGTTGAACGAGTTGTTATTGATCGTGTATTTTTCTTAAATTTTTTCCCTAAAATTATAAAGAGAAGAGCAAGAATTATACCAATGATACACAAGGCCATTAAAACAATAAATAATAACTTGTTTCCAGACCATGAACCTTAAATAATTAAGACAAATACATTATAAAAGTAGTTAATTTTTGTTTTGTTTTTCTATCTATGAAATTGAAACGAACCTTCAGATACAAATGCATTTATCTTAGATTTAGAACTATCAATTGTCGAGTCTTCATCAGAATCGTCAAATATCGTGTCAAGATCAGAAGGCATACTTGAGAAAGATATAGACGAAAATAGATTGAAAACACAATGAATCTGTGCAATAAGAGCAACACAAATACGACAGAGAAAAAAAAAAAAACCTTATTTTGTTTTCGGTTACAATCGAATTATGATGTAGTCACGATGAAAAAAACGTAGTCGTATGTAACTGCATCACACTTGCTAAAAATAGGCATATTTCTTTTACATACATTAGCGATATTATTTTTTGTTTTTGTTTTTTTCTTTCGTAACATTTCGTTGCATTTTGAATTATTTCTTCCATTTTTCAAGAGTCTCTATTGTTTTAAACAAAAAACTTTTGAAAAAAAAACGTAATGTAGATTTAAATCGAGCTCATGAAAGAAGAATATAGTCGTTGTTATCATCAATTAGACATAAATTTGTTTTCATTGATTGTTTTAATCAACAATTTCCTTTTTCCTTATTTACTTGCATGATATATTTGGTTGATAGATAGACTTACCTCACTACTGAATTGCTAAATATATTTAATGAGTTACTGTTGTTGAATAATCATGGATTGAACCAATTAATGAATATTATTGTTGATGATGATATACTATTTGCATAAATATCTGTTAGAGCTACATCAACTAAATTACTTGATACTGTTTCACCTTCAGATAGACCATTAACAATTGAATTAACACAGTAAGATAAGGAAGAATTTCATTATTGAGAGTATCTCAAAAATTAAGAACACATCAATGTTATGTTAAATATGCTAATCTTCAGCAAATCTTCGAAGTGTATGTAAACAAAAAATATTTGTTAACACAACTAGTATCTTAGAGGCTGAAATGTGGAACATACATTTTCCATATAAATCTGCATCTAATTTACTGTAGTTTTTTTTTTCAATGTAATGATATATAGTTTAAAGTTTGTAACAAATGACGTGATTTTATTTTGTCATCATTTTCTATATCATTAAATTCTTACGATTTCTTTAATTTATGAAATTAAGTCGAAGGCTGATTAGTTTATGATAGAAAATCTCTTTTCTTGTCCATCAAATAGTAAACCTACTGTTTTTATGCAAAATAACGAAGAAGAAAAATAGACAACAACAATCAAAATGGATGAACTACTAAATAATTCTTATGATATTTCTCTGGAATTGAAATAGTTACGGATAGATGCTGAAGTGCTAACTGATATAAGAAAAAATAGTTATGTAAACATATGACATAATCGGTACTAAATATTAAAAAAAAATTTGTAAAAGAATGCAACGAAATGTAGGTGCTCAATTAAATTATTGTTAAGGTACAGAGTAACTATAGATTAAAATTCTAACAAATGATGGAAACAATTTAGTTATAACATGCAGCAGATAAAATAATTCTATTTTCATGATAAAACGTGTTTATATATTCTTGATTTTCCATATTCAAAGGGGGAAAACGCATTGATTAGATATATATACATATACCAGGTGTTCCAAAAGTTTTGCAACATTTTGTATTTTGCATTTATCTCGACTTGAGAAAATGATAAAATCTTGATTTTTTTCTTAAAAGATGTGCCGTGAAAAGCTCTACAAAAACTGTATAAAGAAATCTCTATTTACTGGTCCTTATGGTTTTCGAGATGATTAAAAGTGAAGATAGGCGTGACGTTGTTGCCGGATGTTATAAGTTTTTTTATTTCGTCTATATCTCGACTTGAGAAAATGATAAGATCTTGATCTTTTTTTTCAAAGATGCGCTGTTAAAAGATCTACACAATCTGTATAAACAAATCCCTATTGCAAAACGAAAAAGGTCTTTCAAACATTTTTCCAATGCTCAATACGGTGGGACATAGCGCCACTATGTAGGTTGTTCGTATTAAGCATCGGAAAACCATCAGAACCAGTTAATAGAGATTTCTTTATGCAGTTTTTGTAGAGCTTTTCACGGTGCATCTTTTAAGAAAAACATCAAGATTTTATCATTTTCGCAAGTCGAGATAAATGCAAAATACAAAATGTTGCAAAAATTTTGGAACACCCGGTATATTAAGAATAATATCTAAGATTTCATTCAAAAGAAAATACACTCAATTTACATCAATTACCAGAAAGTATCACATCGGTGAAAAACAAATTATCAATTCCATTTTTTTGCATTTTTCTCTATAAAGTTTTATTCACTCAGTATTCAATGAATAATTCTGTTAGTTTTTCATACTTTGACTTGAACCTTTTCTTTCCAGAAAAGATAGCCTTGCAATTCTCAAGAAAATCCAATAAAAACAGCCCTTTAAAAGTATAATCGAAAAACGATCACTCTAAAAAAGTTTACTTTCACATACACTTCTTTTTTTTTTTTATACAAAACAAATTAGTTTACTTCTTCTTACTAAACAGATTTCTGACCGTTCTAAGTTATTCTTGTAAAGAACTTTTTTTCTTGCATTTTGTAGAGAATTGCATAAGGTATGTTTTGGAAAGAAATTGAAGTCAAAACTTGATAGAAATATTCATAAAATGTTGAATGGATAATTCTTTACAGAAAAAAACTTAAAAAAATAACTTTGATTAATTATGAATATTTTTACCAGTGTGACACTTTCTCACCGTTGCTGCAAATTAAATGCAGCATCTATTGTATGATAGCTTAAATGTTACTCTTCAAATATATATATATATATATTCAATATATCTTCGCCTTTGAATATCGCAAATACAAAAAAAAGTGAAGTCGTTACTTATGGAACACCGTTTATACCAAAAAAAAAAAAACGAAGTGAACAGTCAATATTTACTTTTTTTTTCAAATATCTTCAGAAAGAAAAAAACCTTGTCCTTTCATTCATCTTACAATAATATTTCACATATCTGTAACTGCAACGGATTATTAATATTAAGCCAATTACACACAAAAAAAAAGACTATTTCTTATGACGTATCTATCTCATGATTTCAAATTAATATGCAATTTTATATCACTAATATTTTTTTTGGTGTATATGTTTGTCATAACTTATTCGTAATGTGAAAAGTGATACAGATTTTAACATATACAATTACTTTTATTAATGAATCGATTGATAGAATTAAATCTTGTTGCATTAGCAATATGAATTTATTCTTTCAAAGAACTTGAAATAAGAACAATAAGTTGGAATATTTTCTTGATTTATTTTATATTTAATAATTATTTAGTCATTTAAAATATCCATAAATCATAAGTTGAAAAATGTAACCATTCAAGTGATATTAATCATCTGTAAATCAATTGAGCTAATACAGTTAATTAATATGTGTGTGTACATGTTAGGAAAAAAAAAAGTTAAAGAAATAAAACTACTGATCACTATTCTCTTACACAAATACACTTTGCACACTAAAAAGAACGGAAAAAACGCACACTGAATTATAAAAAAAAGACAAGAACTGGAAGATAACAAGAATAAATGATAAAAATGTTTAAACATTTGGCTCTTGCTGATATTTTGGTTTTAGTAATATATCTTCGATTTCTGGTTCTTTAGTTGTTGTACTTGTGCCAAGTATTATTGATTGTTTGTTTTTCTTAAATCTTTTCCCAAAAATCATAAAGAGAAGAGCAATAATAATACCAATGATGCACAGGGCAATGAAAATAACACATAATGTGTTGCTCCAAGACCCTGAACCTTAAGTCATTAAGACAAACATATTAATAAAAGTAATTATTTCTATTTTTCTTTCTTTCTATGAAATAGAAACAAACCTTGAGATGAAAATGTGTCTCTGTTAGATCGAGAACTACTAAATGGCCAATGTTTATCAATGTGACGATTGACCAAGGCAGTGTCAGAATCAGATGACATTCTTGAGAAAAATATAGATTAAAAGTACAATGAATTTGTTATAACCGATCTATATTGAGTCTCAATTTAGTGATAACAGTAAGACGAATATAACTTTAGAAAACAGGTACTTATTGACGTTTTTTCGATTACAAGTCGATTACGACGCAGTTACGTATAGTTACAAAAAAAACCTGCAGCTGCTGATAAATAGGATTTTTTTTTTCATCACTACACGTGGCTACGATTTTATTTTTCGTAAATACACATAACTGTGTTGCAGTTGCTAAAAAAAGACACCACATGAATCTTCTACTCGTCTTGTTGGCTTTTTTTTTCTCTTTCTATTCATCCTATTTTTTTTTTCTTTCGCAACATAATTTCAAAGTATCAGTTTGATGATATACAACAAGACAGAAGACGCAATGATAACAATAACGGTAATTCAATAAAAGTTTTGTTGCGTTCTGTGTTATTCATTTTATTTTTCAAGGATTTCTATTGTTTAAAACGAGAGAAATGAAGAAAAAAAAAACGATGAGATGCCGATTAAAATTGAGCTGATGAAACAAGTATATAGTTATTGTATAAAATTTACCATTGCCACTCTTGTTATTATCATTAAGACATGAATCTGTTCTTTTTTATTGTTTTAATCAATAATTATCTAGTGCTCATTCATTGTTGTCAAATGTATAAACATTAGTGAGAACAAGAACTTTCGATATGCCGACCAATTCTTTATCTCTTCTTTGTATGTTATCGGCTAGTAGTTGTAATCTTTATCTTTTTTTTTCTTTTACTTACTTAGATGATATATTTGAGTAATAAACTAACCTCACCATCTTTTTCTAGCAGCAATATGAGCAGCATCACCGTTGAGTTGCTAATATATATTTCTTGAGTAACTGCTGTTGAATAATCATGGATTGAACTAATTAATGAATATTATTATTGATGGTGATATACTATTTAGATAAATATCTGTTAGAGCTGCATCAGCTAAATTAGTTAATACTGTTTTATCTTCAGATAGATCATCAACAATTAAGTTAACAGTATAATCAGATAGAATTTCATCATCCCGGTAATCGTCTACAACAGAATTTGCTTGTCGGTTTCAATTCTTTGTGTTATTGTTATTATAATATCATTTATACCATAAGCAAGTTGTTTGTCTTCTTGATCAGCAGCCGTAGATATTG